TAACGTTGAACAAACGTCAGACGCGGCATTCTTCAAAGCTAAATGAAAATCGAAAATTGGTTTGCTTTCATAACGTTGAAACGTTTTGAAAGAATGACGCGTCTGACGTTGGTTCAACGTTAATTCGATGAGCAAAACTACGTATGTCAGATCAACGTTGTTTCAATGTCATATTTCCACGTTGATTCAATGTCAGTTTGCTATCTGGGGTACCCCTTTTCTAACCCGAATTTTTGGTCATGTAAACGCATATCGGCATATCCCCATAGTGATTTGTGTTCTGTGCATGTTCTATTCGCAAGGAATCTTGGTCTTTAAAAAAAAAAAAATCCGTGTGCAGTATACCGGAAGTAAACATGGCGAGACACACAGCATACTTTTGGAGCGAGGTCAGTAACGTTACCAGCATCAAAGCGCAAACAAAGGTGATAGCTATCTGTCCCGAACTATTCATTATCCGCTTGCTGCTGTTGTTGTTGTCTTTGGATACAGGAAGAAGAATCGGAAATGACGCATATTGCGTCTCTTAAGGTTGTCCGTACGTCTAGACGCTAACCGCCGTTTACATCGGGATACTGCAGTTCCATGTATACAGGAGAAACTCTCTCTGCTCACGCATGTAAACGGGTTATTCCTAATGTTTCAGAAACGCGAATAGTGACCTTAACCCGACCATAACCCGAAAATCTATTTCAAGAGTAAACTGAAATTAATTAATAGACAGAGCATATAACTTTTTTTTCTCATTAAAAGCAAAATTGTTCAACATGTTTATGTTTTTACTTTGTACTTTGTACTATATTTTAAAAATACACATCCAATATACGATACAGGGCTCTATCTTGCACCCGGCGCAAATAACTTTATACACTGACGCATTTATCATTCCTATTTTGCACTCGCGCAAAGCGGGCTTTTTTCCTCCACAGTAGCACGTCGGTAAACTAGGAAATGAACTTGCGCTTTATGGGCGGGTTGGCGCAAACAACCCCTGGTGCTATTTTGCAGTTCCAGAAAACAATTGCGCCAATGACCAGAAACTGGTCTAAAGTCAGTGGCGCGTTGCGCTGCGTTCAGACGCTATTTTAAGCGTGCATGCTTGCCCATAATACAGAGTGTGAACAATGTGCATAAACTGTAGATGATTCTCTCAGCTACACAGATGCATTTTACTTTTTGCAAATGATACATTATTATAAGAAAAAATATATAAACACGAGGGAAATCATTATTGTGTCCATGACGATGGGAAAAATAGGCATAAAGCTTACACATTTACCTAAATTATTATATGCGTATTTAACCAAAGCTAATTTGGGTGGGTTTGTCCCATCCCCAATGTCCCTTTTCTTTGTTTTACGGCCTTGACGAGAACATTGATCTCCTCGGCTGTGAACCGATGCTGAAGCGCGCCTGGTAAATGCGCCGTTAAAATAGAATTGCGCCATGGAACAAGCGCACCTTGTTCATCATGCTCTTAAAGGGAATGTGATATGACACTCTTATTGGTTTATTTCCGTTACGCCCAAACCACACCTATGAATAATGAAGCTACTTCAGACCAACCCCTTTTAGATTTGCGCCAGGCGCAAGAGGCATTTATCCCACCGGGAAAATAGTAACAGCGCCGGGATCCGCCCACAAAGTTACTAAACCTAACCATATTGTAAAACCTGTCCCTAACCTTACTTGTAGTATCCCCCTCAATAGCAGCAAAAGTGTTTTGCAAAACAATACAAACACAATGAGTACATTGTAGTATAGTGCATTCTGGGCACATGCTTCGGATGTTTGCACACAGAAAACTTCTTGAAAACCTCATGTGATTACAGAGCCGCTTTCCTGTAATATTGTAATAACTACTCAATATATTTACTACATAAATCATATAACAAATAAAGTAAAGGATAATGTATAGCCAGGCGGTTGTTATTAGGGCTGGGTATTGAGACAAATTTCACAATTCGATTCGATTTGGATTCACAAGCTTGCAATTCGATTCGATTTCGATTCGATTCAATATAGATTATTTTGGATATCAGTTACAATAAATGGCCATTTTTCTCAAAGGAATCAAGTCTCTTAACTAATGCAGTAAACTATGGGAGTCTAGTTGTAGCGTACTAGGCTTCATTAGCCTAATATGAAGGTAATAATGAACTGTTTTGTAGCTATACAAACACTTAAATTACACTTATTTATTTTATAATAAGAAGATTATATGAAATATAAACATTTAAATGGTGGCTGTCATAAAAACTTGCCAGATTTATTCAAATATGCATTAAATATTGAAGAACATTAAGATCATAAAGCATATGTAATATGGTGTATATATTTAGCAAAATGCTCCTCTCTGGAGTTATTTTTTTCTAGCTGACTAACGAGTTTATGTGGGTTTTCTGAGGTAAATATGACGATACATTGATTACAAGCTGTTTAACTGACGTCTTTCCACGGTTGAAACGCTGATTGAGCGAATCAATGTGACATGATACGGATTTTGATAAGTTGTCTTTCACACTTTCAGATGCTCATTCATGTTTATTTCGCGCTGTGACTGGTATCATTAACCCGGAAGAGAGATCAGCGCTGCTGCTCCTCTTGAGCTGCACCAGTGCGATCTCACGCCACAGCGCCAAAACGCTGTTTATGTTTTTGAATTTCTAAAGAAAATGGACGTAATTTGAAAATTGAGACTTTGTTTCATATCAATAGTAACAAAGGACAAAGATTATTGTGAGTTTTTGGATGCGCGCAGCCACGATACAATGTCCCATTCATTCAAATGAAACAGGATGACTAATCGATTCTTGAGATTTAAGAATCAATATCGGTTCGGTTCGTAAAAATGAGAATCGATTAATATCGAGAAATCGATATTTATAACCCAGCCCTAGTTGTTATAGCGAATACAAACCCGCAGACTCGAAAAAGGGGAAGGGTCTTGAATCAGCCTGCGGGGGTCGCTATACATTTTCCCACTTATAACATGGCTACCTACCAAATAAATCAATTATTTGACATAAAATAGTGATTTAAAAAGGAGTTTATTAAATTAAAAATGATTATGTTACCGGAGTGAACAGAACTGTGTCTATAGCAACATGATCTAGCTGTTAAAACACATGCAATGGTAAAATATCCCAGATAGCAAACTGACATTGAATCAACGTGGAAACATGACATCGAAACAACGTTGATCTGGTATTGTTTTGCTCATCGAATTAACGTTGAACCAACATCAGACGCGTCATTCTTTAAAACTAACGGAAAATCAACTTGAAATCAACGTTGTTTAAACGTTAGGAAAGCAAACCAATTGCATACCAATTACCAATTTTCATTTAGCTTTGAAGAATGCTGTTCAGAATTTTTGCTATTCTGCCTGACGTTGGTTCAATGTTAATTCGATGAGCAAAACAATGCCAGATTAACGTTGTTTCGATGTCATAAGAGACGTTGTTTCCACGGTGATTCAATGTCAGTTTGCTGTCTGGGATGTGATCAAGAAAAAAGGCTATAACGTTATATTAAGTAAAAATTAAAAAGTGAATCACCAGGGAAAAAGGGAACAGCTTTAAATCCCTCCTCTGCAATTCACTTGAGTCTATTAATAGTTTAAAGGCCCGTACACACCAGGACGAATATCAGCAACGCGTTATTCATCAGCGTTTTTCAACGCGTTTTTGTGTTCACACCCAAGCGATTTTTGCTGATGATGAGCCGAGTGAACATGCAAATTCATTCCCTAACATTAGATGGTGCCAATTTGCTCTGCAATACAACCCCATAAGAGTTCTCTTTTATCAAGATGGTTGTAGTCCCTATCGCGTTTGTCATATAGTTCTTTATGTTCTAGCACCAACGAGAACAGCAGCTCTACATTCATCTTGCCTTGCATCTTCCTCGTTTTATTTCTTCCTGGCTGTGTAGTGGCGTATAATCCTGATACGTAAAACCGTTGATAGCAAAGATGGTGTACTCTCTTTTTTACATGACTGTATATGTATGACAGATAGTGGAAATATAAAAATAATTGTATTTGCTGTATTCTAATTTTGTTTGCAGTGTTTTTTTTTTTTTTTTTTTTTGCTATTCTTGTTAAAATAACCACATAATGTCATGATTCTGCCATCATGTCATTGATTTTTCTAGTCTTGTGGCAGGATCATGGCAGAACCATGTTTTGTGTACAAGCGCATGGCCTGTTGTTTGGGCCATGTGCTTGTGTTGTCTCGTTTAATACCCCGCCCCCCTTGTTATCCTCATCCTGTCATTATTACCTAGTCTGTGTCACCTGTTCCCATCATTAGTTTCTCCATATTTAATCCTCTTGTGTTTGCTGTCCTGTGTTGGTTCATTCTCAAACATTGTGTGTTGCTTCCTGTGAGTACTTAGTCTGAATCTTGTGATATTAATTCTGCTTTGTGTAGCTGTTTGTTTTCTTTTCTTAGTCATTTAGTCTGAATTCAGTCCTAGTCTACTTTTTGTCTTAGTCTTGGAATATTGCCTTTCAGTTCTGTTTTTCCCCCTCGTGGGTTTTGTTTTCTCTGTTTTGTCTTGAATAAATTTTGTGTTGAGCGTTCAGTCTGCTTTTGGGTTCTTCTATCCGCATCTTCATGACCTATAATCTGGAGCTCTTAATGTGGCACTTTAGCTTATTTAGTGGAAGAGCGAAGCAATGCGCATGTAACCAAAAGGGCTTGAATGACATTGCATGTTTGGCTCCAGATAAAAATATTAGAGGATATACATTCGAAACATCATTACCATAAATTACACTGAGCGCTTGTGGTGTATATGCTCTGTTGTTTTGACACGCTGCTAACTTTAAACTGTAGTAACGGAAAATGGTGCTACGATTGTCATTATGTCTTGCAGTCCAGTTGGAACCAAGCCAGGGAACCGGACTGTGGTCTGCACATTCTGCAGTGTCCTATATGTTTAATTAATTTTAATTTGTTACTGAGATTCTTATCCTCAACTCTCTATTTCAGGTTAAAAAAAGTGGAAAGTGTGAGATGTTAAATCAAGAAGAACGAAAGAGACAAGAGGTAAAGTTCCAGATCAGCCTACCTGATTTATTCTTTCTCTCTCTTTTGGTTTTGCTCATATCAAAATGTTTTAAAAGACAGATTATTTCAGTTTAAATACTGCTTCTTCTGTGAAGCCTGTCACTTGCCAATTGAATGAACCATTAAAATCTGGCCTTGCATGGGTGTATCCCTGAACTTTTTATCTCGGTTTTGCATTAAATTCCACAAGTCATATTTTGCTTTAAAGACATTAGGCTAAAAAAGGAAATGAATATGAAGGAGGTTTATGACAACTGTCATTAAGGGCTCTATCTTGCGCCCAGCGCAAATTACTTTATACACTGACGCATTTTTCATTCCTATTTTGCACCGGCGCAAAGCAGGCTTTTTTCCTCCACAGACGCACGTCGGTAACTTAGGAAATGAACTTGCGCTCCCTGGGCGGCTCGGCGCAAAAGGGAGGCGTGATTCGGTGCAAACAACCCCTGGTGCTATTTTTCAGTTTCAGAAAACAATTGCGCCAATGACCAGTGGCGTGTTGCGCGTACATTCAGATGCGATTTTAAGTGCGCATGCTTGGCCATAATACAGAGTGTGAACAACATAGATGCATTTTACTTTTTGCAAATTATAAATTATTATAGGGAAAAATATATAAACATGAGGGAAATCATTGTTGTGTCCATGACGATGGGAAAATAGGCATGAAGCTTACACATTTACCCATATTATGATATGCATGTTTAACCGAAGTTAATTTGGGTGGGTTTGTCCCATCCCCAATGTCCCTTCTCTTTCGTTTACGACCCTGACGAGAACATCGATTTCCTCGGATGTGAACTGATGCTGAAGCGCGCCGTAAATGCGCCGTTAAAATAGAATTGCGCCATGGAACAAGCGCACCTTGTTCATCATGCTCTTAAAGGGAATGTGATATGACGGTCTTGTTGGTTTGTTTCCGTTACGCCCAAACCACACCTATGAATAATGAAGCTACTTCAGACCAACCCCTTTTAAACTTGCACCCGGCGCAAGAGTCATTTATCCCGCCGGTAAAATAGCAACAGCGCCCAAGACCCGCCCATAAAGTTACTTGTGCTTTGCGCTTGCTACTTGTGTTTCAGATCGTTAAAATAGGGCCCTATGTGTCATTTGCTCAATTATGACATTTTTTATGCAAATATGATAGTGTTTGAGATGTCTTTGTTATGACAACCTGACATAAACCAATACATCATAACCTGTCAGTGATATAAATTATCACACTTAAGAAACCACTTAGCTTTCTGGGTTAACATTACATTACATTAAAGTGTCATGTGATTGGTTTTGACATTGGCTGTCATGAGGCCATTATAACTGTGTCATGAATATTTTTCTTGGCCTCAACTACAGTGGCACAAATTTGAATTTGTCATTAAAATGTTTTAATGGCCTCATGACAGCCAATGTCAAAACCAATCACAGGACACTTTAATGTAATGCTCAAAACCAACCACCTGACAGTTTAATGTAATGTTAACCCATAAAGCTAAGTGATTTCTTAAGTTTGATAATTAATCTGCGATGTCATGTTTCACATATTTATGACAGGTTGTGCTGTTTTAGTTATGTCAAGTTGTCATGACAAAGACACTGACAGGTTATGATGTATTGGTTTTCATAACAGACATTTCAAACAAAGTCATGTTTGCATTAAAAATATCATAATTGAGCGAATGACACTTAATGACAATTACATAAACATGAAATTACATAAAACCTCCTTCGTATTCATGACGTGTCATGTCATGATTATGAAGGTGTCCTGTCTTACGCACACCCCTTCAAGTAAAGTCTTACCGAACTTTCTGCTTATCTCAGGAATAAATTGCATTTTAAAATATATCAAATTAGAAAACAGCTATTTTAAATTGTAATCATATTTCATACATTTACTGGTTTTACTGCATTTTCAGCAGAGAGATTTAGCAGAGAAGCTTAAGGCAAGGACAATGCAACAGATCATTGCTCAAACTCTGTGCCTTTTAGATTTGTCGGATGTTTATTATTTGTATCAGTTCCTTTCAGCTCTGTGTAAACTTTCACCTGTTATTATCCAGCTTTTTGTCAGCTAGGAGAGATCTTCATGTAGATATGAGCATGAAATCTGTAGTAATTGAAACTAGACAGGTGAAATGCAAGGTCTAAAAAAGGTTTCTCTCCCTTAGGCCATATTTGAGGTCATCTCATCAGAGCACAGTTACTTGCACAGTCTGGAGATCCTCGTTCGCCTCTTTAAGAACTCAAATGAGCTCAGTGAAACCATTAACAAAACAGAACATCATCATCTCTTCTCCAACATTGTTGATGTCTGCGAGGCCAGCAAAAAGTAAGATCTGTCTCCTAGATACATTCAGATAAGTTTGCTCATCTATGTAATGAAAATCTTATTTTATGATAGTTTATTTCACTATTACAACATAAATTTCAATATAGATATTTTTGTTATTTTATCTTGTCTTTGATATTAAAAATAAGAACAAAGATGCAAGTTACTAACAAGAGGACAAATACTATATAAGAAAGATATAAATAAAACAAGCGACAATCATTGGGGTCCAAGCATGATAATATTTATTATATTATACTGTATACTAAATTTATAAGCGATTCAAACATAAGCGTTTACAGCAGCTTGTCCTGTCATGCTTTGTCAGATGTGTGTGCTGTTTAATGCCTCTGACATGTGTTTTCCTCAGTGCATAACTTACATGTTATAGTTATATCATTATCTGTACATTTTAGACTGTACATTTTACATTCCTGCACTTGTTATCCATATTCTTTCAAATATCTTCTTTTGTGTTCAGCAGAAGAAATTCATACATGTTTGAAACAGCTTGAGAACGAATAAATTATGACAGTTTAAAAAAAAAATTGGACAAACTTCAAATATATATATATATATATATATATATATCTTATTATAGCGCCACTATGTGAGAAACACGTTGTAGTCCAAATGATTCTATTCGTTGTAGTTGTTGGAAAATGGATTTTGTTAAATAAAATACACTACAATGCCAAAAGTTTTGGGACATCTGCCTTTACATGCACATGAACTTAAATTACATCCCATTCTTGATCCGTAGGGTTTAATATGGAATTGGCCCACCCTTTGCAGCTATAACTGCTTCAACTCTTCTGGGAAGGTTTTCCACAAGGTTTAGGGGTGTGTTTATTGGAATTTTTGACCATTCTTCTAGAAGTGAATTTGTTGGTCAGTTCCCATGTCCACTGATGTTGGACGAGAAGGGCTGGCTCGCAGTCTTCACTCTAATTCATCCCAAAGGTGTTCTATCGGGTTGAGGTCAGGACTCTGTGCAGGACATTCAAGTTGCTCCACACCAAACTCTTCATCCATGTCTTTATGGACCTTGCTTTGTGCACTGGTGCGCAGTCATGTTGGAACAGGAAGGGGCCATCCCCAAACTGTTCCCACAAAGTTGGGAGCATGAAATTGTCCAAAATGTCTTGGTATGCTGAAGCATTAAGAGTTAATATCACTGGATTTAAGGGGCCAAGCCCACCCTCCACCAAACTTTAAAATTGACACAGTGCAGTTGGACAAGTACTGTTCTCTTGGTAACTGCCAAACCGAGACTCGTCCATCTCGTCCATCCGATTGCCAGAGAGAGAAGCGTGATTCATTACTCCAGAGAACATGTCTCCACTGATCTAGAGTCCAGTGGTGGAGTGCTTTACACCACTGCATCCGACGCTTTGCAGTGCACTTGGTGATGTAAGGCTTGGATGCAGCTTTTCAGCCATGGAAACCTGTTCCATGAAGCTCTCAATGCACTGTTCTTGAGCTAATCTGTTTGTGGTAAGTTTGTGACTATTGACTCTGCAGAAAGTTGGCAACTTCTGCGCACTGTGCGCCTCAGCATGCGCTAACCCCACTCTGTGATTGTATGTGGTCGACCACTTCATGGTTGAGTTGCTGTTGTTCCCAATTGCTTCCACTTTGTTATAATACCACTAACAGTTGACCGTGGAATATTTAGAGAGGAAATTTCACAAATGGAATTATTGAACAGGTGGCAACCTATCACGGTACCACGCTTGAATTCACTGAGCTCCTGAGAGCAACCCGTTCTTTCGAAAATGTTTTTATAAGTAGTCTGCATGACTAGGGGCTTGATTTGATAAAACTGTGATCATGGAAGTGATTGGAACACATGGATTCAATGATTTGGAGGGGTGTCCTAATACTGTTGGCAGTATAGTGTATCTCTTTAGAATGGACTTTGAGCTTTGTAACCTTGCAGATCTTTTTTGTGCTTAACCAGCAACATAACATTTTTTTTTTTCCGAATATGCTGTGAGCTTCATTTTTTTATTTTTAGTTTTTTATTATTGCCACAGCCCAAATACAACCACTGACAACGATTATTTTATAGACGGGCAAAGTTTGCACAGAAACATACGATTTTTCTCATCCTCACCGAACTCGTCATAAAACCTGTTTAAATGATCATACGACGCCTCACCTCGACATACATACCTCACTCGCTGCTTTGTCGACGGCAGCCGTGGTGTGACACTTGTGGCTGGTGTTGCCGATAAGGTGTTTTTTCACTACATATTAAAGGGCACCTATTATGCCCCTTTCTACAAGATGTAATATTGGTCTCGGGACAATCTTGTACAATCTACATGTAATATTGTCCCCAGAATGTATTTGTGAAGTTTCGGCTCAAAATACCCCATAGTTAATTTATTATAACCATTTGAAAATGTCATTTTGGGGCCTGCTTAAAAATGAGCTGTTTCAGGGACTATACCACCTTAAGTGCAAATGAGCTGCATATCCCCGCCCTGCCTTTGGATGAGGGCGTCACTTGATACCTATGGGAGTCGGTACTGAGTGAGTGAGAGAAACATTTTGAATGTCATTCAGCGTACGTTTGAATCGGAATATATAATAGTACGAAGAGACTCCGGCAGAATAAACATAAATGAGAATGGACCAGTACGTCTCGGTATGGTTATATGATACATTTATGTACTTTAGAGTTGTAATCGTGTCCGGATGTGCAACACACACACACACACAAACACTGAAGCTGGTGCAATATTTTGAAACTACATACACATTCTGTGATAAAGTTTGCTTACGTACAAGCGAAATTACATTTATGCGAGGGACCTGTTGTGTCATGTTTACTTGTCATACAGGTGCTTCTGTGGCAAATGTGAGAAGATGGCTAACTTACAGAACAACATATATGCAGTTTTTTAATACAATATCTTTAAAAAAAAATATATATATATATATATATAAACGTGTGGTTACACACTATACAAACAAGGTTTAAATGATATAGCCTACACAGACATCCTACGACGACAACAACTTTAGACGCATTTGCTGTTGAATTGTCTGACATTGACTGAAAAGACTATTTGCTCAAAAATCATAAAATACACTTACTGTTACTGGAGGTGACGGTGGATCGCAAACAGTAGACGACGATCCACAGTTGAGGATTAACTTTTAAGCTACAACAACAGGATTAACCCACGACAGAACATTTATGTTTCCAAGAGACATTACCGGCTGTCGTTGAAACAATGGAGGATGGTGTACAGATCACCGAGGGCGGGGTCTATGCCACAACCACACTGTCAATCAAACCCCTTTCTCACTTTCTACGTCACAAAGAGCTGAATCTCAGAACAGCTCGTTCTGACACAGTGCATATGATTTATTGAGATTGTAAAAAAAACACTGGGTGGATTTTTATCATTCTAGGGTGGTTTTGCTCACACACTGCCAACACACATTTATGTTCAAACACCATGTAAAACTGAATTTTCCATAATAGGTGCCCTTTAAGGCCTGTTTACAGTGCCCTCCACAATTATTGGCACCCCTGTTTAAGATGTGGTCGAGGACTTTTAAAAATTCTCCCTTTTTTTTAAACAACATAGAACCCAAATGCACAAAAAGAGAAAAATCCAACCTTTTATTTAAGTACATTACTTTGGTGGTAAAAAAAATTTTTAAAATTTAAAAAAATAAAAACTTCAAATCATGTGTCCCACAATTATTGGCACCCCTGATGTTAATACTTTGTACAACCCCCTTTTGCCAACAAGACAGCACTTAATCTCCTCCTATAACATTTCACAAGATTGAAGAACACAGAGAGAGGGATCTTTGACCATTCTTCTTTGCAAAATCTTTCTAGATCATCCAGTATCCTGGGCCCTCTCTTGTGCACTCTCCTCTTTAGCTCACCCCACAGGTTTTCGATTGGATTGAGGTCTGGGGACTGAGATGGCCATGGGAGGACCTTGAGTTTGTGACTGAACCATTTTTGTGTAGATTTTGCCACACGTTTTGGATCATTATCCTGCTGAAAGACCCAATGACGACCCATCTTCAGCTTTCTGGCAGAGGCCATCAGGTTTTTATTTAAAATGTCCTGGTAGTTCAAAGCGTTCATAATGCCATGCACCCTAACAAGGTTCCCAGGGCCTTTGGAAGAGAAACAGGCCCACAGCATCACAGATCCTCCACCATACTTCACGGTGGGCATGAGGTACTTTTCGGCATACACATCTTTTGTTTTACACCAGATCCACTTAGAGTGTTTGTTGCCAAAAAGCTCAATCTTAGTCTCATCCGACCAAAGCACACGATCCCAGATGAAGTCCCAGTGCCGCTTGGCAAACTCCAGACGTTTACGTTTGTCAGTGTTAGTGAGAAAAGGCTTTTTCCTAGCATGCCTCCCAAACATCTTGTTGGCATGTAGAGAGCGTCTGATGGTTGTTTTGGAGATTTTGTGACCCCAAGATGCCACTATTTGATGCAATTCTGTGACAGTGAGCTTAGGACTTTTTTTTACTTTTCTTAGCATCCTCCTCACAGTGCGTTGTGGCAAGATAAACTTGGGACCTCTTTCAGCCTTGTTTGTCACTGTTCCTGTTGTTTTAAACTTCTTAATGATTCCTCTAACTTTAGATATGGGCAATATAAGGTGAGTGGCTATTTTCTTGTAGCCATTGCCTGACTTATAAAGGTCATCACACATCTGCCTTACTTGAATGGTGTGTTCTCTTGTCTTTGCCATGTTGACAAATGGGTAAGAGAATTAGGCCTCTGTGTCATGTCATATTTATACCCCAGGGAAATAGGAAGTCATGAATTACTAATTAAAAGTTCCTAGATATCCTGACCAACATTAGCAACTACAGAAAATATATATATTTTTTAAAAATCAATTACATTTTTCAGCGGAATTGTTAGGGGTGCCAATAATTGTGGGACACAGGATTTGAAGTTTTTATTTTTCTAAATTTTTACATTTTTTTTTTACC